AACCTTCTGAAGCTTCCCTCTCCCTGTTGTTGACTGTTGGTGTGATATTATAATTTTTTCACTAATTAAACCATAAAACTGGCCCAGACATGCGGAAATAATAACGAAACGACCTCAAAACAATAACGAAACGAATACAATATCGAAATACGAAGCATTTACAAAACGTTTTTGAAAATTCGTTTTTTTAATAATTGCTCCAGAATGGTTCGTTATCGTTTTGTAATTGGAAAAATTAACGAATTATTAACGAATTACGAATTAACGAAACGAAACCGCCCAGCCCTACTAGAAAGGTATTCTCTCTATAAATCCTCTAGGTTCTCTAGCATAACTCTATAGTCAACTTCAGAGGATGATGACCATAAAGTCACACTGAAGGACCTAAAGATCCTTAGAGATACCATAATAATAAAATTCATAAAATCCAATCTCCTTATCTGGAGGGCTGACTATAGTGTGAAAGAACCCAAAGTTTCATTTTGAAAAAGTCATGGTTTGGAAAGAGTATGCATTTAGATAGACAAAAGATGAAGATGTGGAAAATGCTTAATCCTTTCCGCCATATTCTCACTCAGATGTCTAGTAATCTATCCTACACATTATCAGATATATATTTGCAGCTTCGGTTATTCACAGATTTGGTTAATACATTGTCTTTAGGAATCTCTAGGCCCTCAGAGATCACTATTGGATGATCTAGAGATTCCTATAGAGTTCATCTCTCTAGGTCCTCCAGTGCAATCTATAGTCAACTTTTGGCAGAAGTTGGCCATAGAGTCATGTTGGAGAACCTAAAGATTCCTACAGAGGTGTTCTCTTTTTTACTTTCATGGGAATCTTGTATTCCTAATCCAAGCAGATGTGGAGGGCTGGCTGTATATTGACTACAACAAACATACGCTTTGATGATTATGTGGTAAAAACCATCTGTAGGACATCAGCAGAGAAACAGTTGGTAAGGGACAGGCTGAGTTCTTCTTGCTATTAATCTATATTGCACCTCAACTTCTCAGGGATTCTTAATTTGGTGAATAGTTACATTCATCTCTATGTCATGCGTAGTTCATCTTCACTTTGGTCATTCTTTTATTTTTCTAAGAATAGTTTCAAAGACCTTGCAATACAATAATCAAATTTTTGTAGACACAGTAATAATTTACTGTACCTTTTCCCCTGTGTGTCCTCGCAGGCCCTGAAATATTAAAAAATGCTTATTTAGTAACAAAATTAAAAAAGAAACCTTGATTAAAAGAGATTGTTTAGTCATATTCTTACCTTCTGGCCCTTATGCCCAAAATCTCCCCTACATCCTTTCATTCCCTGTACTCCAGGAAATCCCCTGGAACCCTAAAAGGGGAAAGACAAAGAGTCAATGTGTGCGTTTATGTGAGGGATCCTACTAAGGTTGAAATAATATGAATGAGAAGGAGAAGGAGAAGAAGAAGTTGTTAATGACTTACTGGCTCTCCATTTTCTCCTATATCTCCCTGTCTGCCCTCAAGGCCATCAGATCCCTGGAAATAACATTAATAAATAATTCATACTTTGTTATTGAAATTATTATTATATCTCAATGAACTTTCAGTAGAACTCAATCGACTTTAAAATGATATTGATAATGTTATTGCCCATTCCTTATTACCTTCACTGTAATAGTGACTATCACATTGACCAAAGTTTATAGTATTTTCAATGGTTTATTACCCAAATTTTGGATCAATGTTTTTTCAAAATAACTAGGAGAGCTTGGGTGATATCTGGGAAGCTGCAAAGGGGCTACAAACAATCTATTGCAACATGTTGCCATCCAAGATTAAATCCTCTCTATTTTTTGTGCATGTTCAACAATCATGTCCATGTATTTCTGGATGAATGTGTGTAGTTATGTATGGAAATAGCAGACTTCTCAGCAGTGGTACCATACTAGTTGAATTCCCTCCTGTCAGAGATCTCTCTGACAACTATAGTTTTGTTTTTTGATGAATAGTTTTTTGAAAAAAAAATCCATACTAGCTTTCAGGGAATAAAAACATGATTTCTCTGTCATCTACAGCAGCTTGCTTGGATATTAGTAGGCATTTGTACTTTTTAGTCAGCCCTTTCCATATTCAGTATAGCATTGCTCCACAAATCATTATTTAATTGCTGCATTGTAAATGTGTTTCACACTGAAAAGTATTTTTGAAAAAAAAAAGGATTTGGACGTTGCAAAGTACAGTAATTGGGTTCCAAGCAAAGCTTGCCAATAGTTAACCTTGGCCTACATTTGACACATTTGTTAAAAATAATAAGGCATTTTCTTGGAAGAGCTAGAAATAATGTTGTAAGAGTGTTCCGACAGTCCACGATTCTGCATTATTTGTGAAAAATTAAAACAAACTCCAAAGTGAATAACTTGGTGTTCAGTGGAGTTACAAACTGTCTGTTTTCCCAGTCAGTCTCAATTTTACCTTGATCTGAATTAGATGAAGCATAGACATTCTTACCTTGAGACCAATTTTCCCTGATTGTCCAGGAGGGCCTTTTTCGCCCGTGCACTTACAAAATAGGCAGCAACATTTTCTCTCAGCAATTTTGTCCTTGAAAAGAAGAAAACACGGGAGATAAAACACTTGTTCTTTGAACTTATTAGCACGTTTATCAATACTGAACATTGTTGTCATTGCAACCCATGGACAGTGGGATAATGCTTCTCTACCCAGAATGAACAACCTAAATGATTAAACACTGGGAACTATTGTTGGTAAGCCCCTCACGGATAAAGTTTTCTCTATCCTATGTACACTTCCTTGAGAGCAAGCTTACTGAACATTCAAAAAGCACTACTAAACACATGCTGTGTTGGTAGATGTCTTCATTTTTATGATTTTTTTTGAATGATAGGTAAAGGTTTTCCCCTGACATTAAGTCCAGTTGTGTCTGGCTCTGGGGGTTGGTGCTCATCTCTATTTCTAAGCCCAAGAGCCAGCATTGTCCATAGACACTTCCAAGGTCTTTTGGCCAGCATGACTGCATGGAGCACCATTACCTTCCCACCGGAGCAGTCCCTATTGATCTACTCACATTTGCATGTTTTCCAACTATTAGGTTGGTAGAAGCTGGGGCTGACAATAGTAGCTCACGCCACTCTCCAGATTCAAATCTGTGTCCTTTTGGTCAACATATTTAGCAGCTCAGCGGTTTAACCCACTCTACCACTGGGGGCTCCTTTTGAATGATAATGGATAATGAATGGAAAAACTAGTCTGACCTCCCCATTCAAGAACCAGCAAGTAGACATTATCAAAGGCTTTCACAGCTGGAATCACTGGACTGTTCTCTGGTTTCTGGGCTGCATGGCCATGGTCTAGCAACATGGTTGCCATTTTTGAGCCATTTTTCACGGACCTTTAAAAAAGTATCAGCATTCACGCTGCAACTCATAATGATTATTATTTATGGCACAAAGCACTGCACTGCTATGTTTTGAAATCTAATCTAATTGTTCTTCTACCATGAACTTACCACATACTCAAACAGCTGGTCAGCGATATTGTGTGTGCCAATAGTTAATTGTTCTTTATATCCAAATCCCTTCCCAAATTCGATATACTGAAGATGATGAAAGTTGGTGGCTCCTTCCAGGGCAACAGTGATGATTCCATTCAGTCCTATTTTAAATATTAATGATTGTAAACATATTCTAAAAATTGGGATTGTTTTCAATTCCCACCCCACACAATTAAAAAAAATACATCACTTTTCACTCCCTCGCACTCAATGATCAAATATTACAAGATAGTAAATTATATCTAGAAAAAGAAGAGTAGTTGATAGACTACAAAGGTAGCCAATTAACCACTCAACTTTGTTCAAACAACATGCTTCTGAACTGGTGGAGGCAGGTGGGTATGATGTCAATAGGGTGGTAATGTACCTTGCTTTCTTAGTTCTTCAGATTTTTGTTCAAGTGCTTCTATGTCATCATCCAAGCCATCAGAGAAAAGAAGCAACACCTACAACATCAGAAAGTGAAAGTTAACATTAGCATCAAAAAGAGAAACAAGATATATGCAGTATATGTATAACAGCATTAATCAAATAGTTGGATGGATCTCTAGAGTAAAAGACTCAGCATGCATTCAGAGAAACAAAGTACACTAAGGGAAGGAATGTTTATAATTAAGGCAATTCAGATTTGTTAACAATTCATTGAAAAATGTATTCGTTATATGAAATCTATATAAATAAAAATATAATGTTTGTTTGTGGGATTAACATAACTCAAAAACCACTGGACAAATTAACACCAAATTTGAACACAATGCAGCTATCAGGCCAACAAGTGACCAACACTAATAAAAACACTGAAAACACAGTGGAAGGGACTAAAAAAGCCAAAACTAAAAATTACAACGCATGTGCAAAACCATATATATATGCAAATATACATATACACAAATATATACACACACACACATATACACACACAAAGCACATATTCACAGACTGGGCCACAGCAATGTGTGGTGGAAGATGGTTAGTTCCTAATAAAATGCAGCCTTAACTGTCTATCTAGCTGTTTATGTCCTCACTTCTATCATCAGATTACCCAGAAGAAAGATTTGATGGCCTGGTTGACTGTCTTTCTAGCTGAAATCAGATGAAAAAAGAGAAAAGAACAATAAAAGGGTGAAGAAGGGAGGGAAGAAAGAGAGATCTAAGTTATACTAGATCTTAACATCCTCTAGCCAAGGGATACAATCAATACGTCAGATTAAAATAACCCTAACTAGGTCAGAGTTAATGTAATCCTCAATCATTTCCATATTTTGTAGGCTGAGGATTGTGTTGATTAAATAGCTATCCTTGAGAGTTAGGCTGATAGATGTGTTGTATAATATTATATGCAGTATCATTACACAATCAGTTAGGCATGGCAATAAATTACCTTGCTTCGGTTTTTATTACCAGATAGACCTTTAAATGAATTCCAAAGACTGTCCAAAAACTTGACATTGAGATGAGATGAGCTGTTGATCACAACATTTCTGAGTTTCTCTATGATTTTTTGATTGTCAACTTCAAGGCTTGCCAAGAGAGGTTGATCTGTATTTTCTATTTGAATGGCCACACTGAACTGTGTCGTTGTTCCTTTACTGCAACTCACAGAACTTAAAGATGTGAACTTCTTTATTATACCAGGAAGGTAGGTTTCCAAAAGTTGTTGGTTACTGAATAAGTGATCCCCTGGTTTCTGAGATGAGATGTCAAATCCCACAAGCACATCCACAAAACATGCTGTTTTAGGGAAATGAAAATAGCAAGGTATCAGAAAACAATTGTGGAATAATTGTTGAACAAAGATAAAAACAGAGCAATGAATACCTCCATTGGGGAAGAAAATCAAGCAAATTTCAACAAAGTTGAAAATGTAATGTTCTCTCACTTGCTGTTTTGAGGTTTTTGGAATGTTGGAATACAAATCTCAACAAGTACATCTACACAAGCATCTGTGTGCTTCTTCCTCCCTACTTGCCCCAGGGGTATGCAGGTATATCTTTCCCCACTAGCTTCTGAGTAACTGTGGAAATGTCCTTGGGTACATTTGGACTGTCTTCAACTACTAGGCAAAATGGGCCAGTACCAAGTATAAAGCTGTTCCCTTTTCTCCCAGTATGCAAAGACAGCTGGGATATTTTTCTGTGGACCTGATGTTCAGTATGGGATTAGCTCTTTAAGCCCTGCAAGCTTCCTTGTGTTTCTCAGGAAAGGATCATTTCACAAGAAAATAGATGGTGCCTCCTTCTACTAGCCCCCCCCCCCCAGCTTTCTAACAATCATGCTAGTGATATAATCAAAGCAAGAGAGGATACTGTTGGCCATACCACACATAAAGCAGAATCATATGATGCAACTTTTTTCTGAGGTGGAAATATTTTTCTCAATTGGTTTTCCTCCTGAAGATGTTATCATTCAGAGTATAAACTCCTGAGTCCTGGAAGTTTTTGAGTAATACATAAACAGCAGTTCACCTCCTGATATGGAGTCTATAACTCAGTGGTTCCCAACCTTTTTTGACCAAGGACCACTTTGACCAGGGACCACCTGACCAGGGCCAGTTGACCAGGGACCACTTTGACCAGGGACCACTGACCAGGGACTACTTGACCAGGGGCCACTTTGACTAGGGACCACCCTCCAACGTTAGTACCAATAGGGTTACGATTCAGTTTGGGGTGCTGATTTAGAAATTGCATTAGATAAACCACATCAGCCCTAGTTTCTGATACAGAACATATGTCATGGTCAGCGACTGGGAAGGAGTGGCAGGTGGAAGTGGAATAAAATAAAATAAATAAAATAAAGAGGAAGGAGGCTTGCAGATCAGATTTCCATCCTCACAACCTACTGGTGGTCCATGGCCCACAAGTTAAGAACCACTGCCATAACTATTGTATTGTATGCACATGAAGGCTGTATACATGCAAGAGTTTACTTTTAATGTTTTTAAAGTGAGAAAATATGAAAATATGTAAATGTCTGCCTTTGTCTTTAGTGATACAGTCGATGGTAAGATGCATGATATAATTTAGCTGCATGTAAATTTGACCTTGCTACATCCAGAACATATTGTTAAAAATGTACAAGAGAATACAGTAGGCCCTCCTAATCCATAGGCTCCTTATCTGTGGTTTCAACCAACCATGGGTCATTGTGGTCAAAACCTGAAATGGTGGCAACATGCACATGGGTACACTGACGTGCATGTTATCACCATTTAATAAATTTTGTATGCCACAATTTGCTTTTTTTTTTTGCAAAACATGTGGTGCCATGGAAAAACTACCACCCCAGATCCAGAGACCCTACTGAAGTGACAGGCTATTCTTTTGCATTACATAATGACTTATACAAGGTTTGCTGGTAGAATAAGGGAAAATAGCACTTATCTTTTGAGTGCATTCTTGGCATTAAATTTAAAATATATTGTATCTTAGTTAAACTTTAACAAACATAGGAGACTGCTGCTCTTGTGGAGGTGGGGAAACAGGTCAAAAGCAGAGTGAAATTAAGAGCCAAAACTACAAAGTTAAAAACAGTTTTTGAAAACTGATTTAAAAAAAAAAGTTTATAGTAGCTAGCTAGCATAAAATCACTTGAGTTACCTCTCTGAAATTGGTTAATCTCCACTTTAGGATGTGACTCCAAATCTTATGCAGACATGTACAAGAACAAAAACATGGTATAGGAGAAGGATTGGTGGTCCAAGTAGACAAATCTTTTTGTTTTGTTTTGTTTTTTGGTTTAGGCTTGGATTGATTTGGTTTGAAATGAGTTCAGGTCCAAATCATCAACCAGGATGCTAAGTAGAGTCAATGGCTTTTTGCATGACCTTAAAATATGAATAACAGAAATCTATTTTTCTTACACACAAACCAAAATGGATTTTAAAAAATTGAACTCAACTTACTTGATTTATCATCCTCTATACATATTCCCTCTGTTATGCGCTTCGTAATATTGGGCAGTTCATTGTAATTAGCTGCAGTGTATATCCTCTCTGGGGAAACAGTCATCTGTTGAAGTTTTGCACGTAGAATATTTCCCACTCCAACTGCATATATCTCAACGCCTTCCCTTCTCAGGTCTTCCGCTGATTGAATAAAGTTGTCACTTGAATTTCCATCAGAAATTACCAGCAACTTTTGGTGCACATTTCGAGCCACTCTGCGTTTTGGTGATTTGAAGAAGGCTTTTACTTCTTTAAGACCTTTTCCAATGTATGTTTGCTGCCCTACCTGCATTGAAACATTCAAAATTTTTTCCTTAAGTTCTGATTTGTTTTGATAATGACCCAGAGGCAATTCTTCGTTGTATCTGTCACTAAATTGGGCCATTCCAAATTTTATGTTGTCAGTAAAACCAATCAAATCAACCAGTTTTGTCAAGAAGACTGTCACATTCCCAAAATCTGTTTTGGAAACACTTGTAGAACCATCAAGCAAGAAAACAATTTCGGCATGGATGTTACATGCTGCAAGATAAAAAAAAGATTTTTTAGTATTTTTCAAATCATGACTTGGAGTGCTTATTCCAACCCACCAAAAACCAGATTTCTTTATATACCATGGAAGTCCTATCTTCCACTATGTGTAGTGATATAGAAAATGGCTTTGCATTTCCATTTTCTATATCACTACACATAGTGGAAACAGGATAACTAGTCTTTTTTATTTAGAGTGAAAGATGTATTGAAGTAAAGCATTGTTTTCCCTGACTGCTGTTTTCAAAATATTGTAGAGCCACCAATTCATCCATGGGTGAATGTAGAATCCTTGGAATGCAAGCACCTTTGTCAATTCTATACATTATTTAACAGAATTAATAATAATAAACTTTCTTTATATCTAGCCCTATCTCCTCATGGGGACTCAGGGAAGTTACCAACAAACATTCAATGCCTGTAACGATGATAATAACCATAAAATTTAAACAAAAATCACTAAGCAATTTTTGTACACCAGACATTATATGACATGAAGTTAAATTAAGCAATTAAGAACACACATTAAATTATCGCAGTTTAAAAGCCAATCTAGCCAAGTATCATTCTCGTTCCATGTCCCTGTGATAATTGGATTTTGTACTTTAAAGTATTCTGTACTTTAAATAAACTTCGATGCAGATGACTGAGATGGTTTAAACAGTGGATTTTAATGTTGAGATAAATGATTTTAATTATTTTAGTGAATGGTCTTTTTACCATACACATTGAATGTTTGCCATTTATATGTTGTGCTCTGCCCTGAGTCCCCTTCGGGGTGATAAGTGTAGAATATAAATGCTTAAAAATTAAATAAAATTATAAATAAACTGAAATAATAATAAAATTAAAACAGACTGGGGTGGGGGTGAATCAGACAAACAACAGTCACTAGAATTTTAGAAAATCCATCAGAATAGAAGAGCCACAAATTCACTTAAGATAAAGAAAAATGATTGACACTGAAAACGCCTTTCATTACTTTCAAGAAACTTTCAAGATTCCAAAAGCAGAACAACACCCCTTGTTACCACAATCAAATCTCTAAAGATACCATCTAAAACTTTAGGTGACAGATCACCCCAATTCATAATAGAAGGATTGCTTTAAAACATCTCTAGCCATTTTTAAAAATTTAAAGCTGAAAACCATTACTTTGAATTGTGCATGAAAGGCAAATTGCCAGACACTGTTTTTCATCTGACTATTTTATTAGAAGTTGTACCAACGAGTCCAATTTAATGTGGGCTGCTAGATTCTGATCTCCCATAATAGAGTGCTAAGAGGCAGCATGAGACATATTGCAGGATGGCACTTAAAAGATGATGTTGTTTAATCATTTAAATTATTCACACACTTTGAATTCTAAAATTTTCCAGCATAACTAAAATTAGCTAGAGTGCAAAAATATGAATTTTCCCTCACTATCATAACTTAAGTATAACAAAAAAAGAAAAAGAAAAAAGAAATGACTGCAAGTGACCGGTTAGTAATTACTTAGGACCACTACATAAATTGAAGAGCATGTTATTTAGATTAGTCATGACAACTTTCCACCTCACTATTTGCTGTGTCTACATTAAATCTGATTATGTTTGCTCAAATCCAATACAATTAGAAGTGAGTGAAGTAACATTATGTCAACATTAAGTTCCATTTCACAATTCAACATGGAATTATAAGAGAAAACTATAAACCATGCAAAATGACCTCAATGCAACAATGCTTCTGGGACTTCAACCTCTGTCCACAGTACAACTATTAGATTACCATATAAATCTGCAGTTGGGAAAAATAACACAGAGAAAGGATGTTACTTACCTGCTGTTGGGCAATAATTATCTATTACCGATAGATTTTTTAGTCCATCAAAGGTATCCACAAAAAATACATGATCTTTGTTTTTGGCTATGATCTCAAGTTCTTGAGGATTTGCATCTTTTATCCCAATGGCATAAATAGTAATTCCATTGCTCCTGATTCGTGTTGAGACTGCATCAAGCTGGTCTTTATCATGGGAGGTCCCATCAGTTATGACCATGAGAAGTTGAGGGACACCTCTGCGTTTGCGGCTGCCATGGCTTTCAGTGAACAAATCTTCAGAGTGTCGAAGAGCCTCTGCTGTGTAAGTTGTGTCATCCAAAAGTGTGTCATCTTTAATCTTATCAATGATCGCTGTTTTGTTACCATCAAGGTAGAACAGAGTTTCTGGATGAGCAGAATATTTCACAGCTCCAAACTTAACACGGTCCTCGCCAACATCAGATTTATTGATGATGTCAATCACAAAGTCCTTTATAATAGCATAATTGTAGTCCCCTATACTGCCAGAACTATCTATTACAAAAACAACATCTAAAAGATTTGCCCTTTTGCAGTCTGAAAAAAGAAAGAAAAGAAAAACCATTAATGAAATTATTCATATTGCAGGACTAAATCAGATATTGCAAAATGAGTTATATTCAGGAGATCTTCCCCAAGAATCTGCAGCCCTCCATAGTGCTAAGAACCTATTACAGAGGACTTTTTACTCTTAAAGATGCAAATTTTCTTTACAAAGTGGTGAGTGTATGAACTGGATGAACTGGTGGTGGTGAATCACCCCATGCGACCTCATCTATTTGATGAGATCCTGAGAATCTTTAAAGGCTGGGTAACTTTATTGAGTCCAGGAGGTTGTGTTTTACCTTGGGAACCTCTGTGCCTAGAGAGGGGGAAAGTATCATATTTGTAACCCATAAGAACTGTTTTCTAACCCTCAGCTCCTCACAGATAAAAGAAAACAGGACATGTTTCTTCTTCTCCTCCTAAAATAGCTCACAAGGGAATTTTGTGGCAGAATATTATTTTGCCAGGTGCGCCAGCCACACTACAAGTTTCCCTGTTTGGCTAATGTGGTCTCCTTGTTGTTAACAATTACCTGCCCCATCTCTAGAGCCAGTCAAAAAAGTAAAAATGTAGCCAAATGTCCATTACTGAGTTAAAAACAGGCATTTTTAAAAATATATAAATCTTCAAATAGTCCAGGACCACAAAAATGTCTTTTAGACATTAACTCCTTCAGCACTAAGATTTAGAATAATAAATATAGCAAGCAACCATCTGACACATTTGCCCTAAAGAAGCCTATACTATAAAACTGAGCTTTATAGTATAGACACAATTGTTGAGGTCATAAAGAGGACATCAAGGGGTGGATACAGTAACCCGCTCTTTTTGCTGATCGCACAGGTTTGCCACTCTGACTACAACAGTGATGGCCACTTGCTTACAGAGGCTGGTTAGTGTCAGTGGAGTCACAATGATCATCCAGTATCTCACTCCCTGTGCTGAACAGTCAACAACAGTCGATCACGATGAAACAGACTCAATTCAGCTTTCCATGTGCTTGCAAACTTCAAGGATGCACCAGAGTTTCCTGCAAACTTTGGAATATCCCTCAACTTTGCCTACTGAGGACCAAGGTTAAGGGCTGAACCTCTGGATCCTTTCTAAAAGACACTATGAAGACAGCCAGCATCAGCTTTGGTTTGAGTATGTTTGTTTTTTTTAAATCATGTAGACATGACCATTCTCCTGTTTTAATTGCTGAGCAAAACACCCACCCACACATATCAGCACATATAAACCCACACAAATTGCATAAGTGGTAAGAAGCAAGAGAAGCATTACTAACCTTCTGGCTTATAGGGACTGCATGTGCCAAAAATTATGTCGTCTTCTATGTTCTTTAATATATCAAAGTTTTCAACATAAAACACATTTTCGGGTTTCCCACTTATCTCTTCTAGCTGTGTTTTATTGGCATTAAACACTCCGACTGAATAGATTATGATGCCTTTGTTCCTCAGCTTTGTGGCTGGAGTTTTTACTTCATCGGTTGCTATTCCATCTGTGATCAGGACCAGAATTTTGTTGACAGAAGGCCGTGCTCCTTTGGCAGGTTCAAAATACTGAGACACAAATCTCAAGGCTTCTCCAGTTTCTGTGGTGCTTCCTATGAGGGACATATCCTCAACAGCCTGAATGATGTCACTTTTTGTTGAGGTCGTCTTGTTGAGTGCAAACACTTCTTTACTGGTGTCACTGAAATGGACAACACCAACCCGCACCTGGTCTTGTCCAATGTCATATCTGTTCACCACCTCCTTTATGAAGGTCTTCATTTTCTCAAAGTTGTCATCCCCTATGCTGCCTGAACTGTCCACCAGGAACATAACATCAGCTTTCATTTCCTTACAAGCTGTGATAGAAAGAAAATAGTTACTCTTTTTTTTACCAAATACGGTTGAACAATTCTAAAAACATTGCTTATGTTCAAGAAATGTCATATTTCAATAATATCTTGGGAAATTGCAAACAAATGCATTTTGATTTTTTACTTGGGTTCAAGAAATTGCCTCTTTTCAACTAGCATTCGTTTAAGCATTTTATTTTTAAATTTCTGGTTTTATTAAATTAATTGGTTTAACCTTGTAATTGAAAACAGATTTAAAATGCAATTTCCTCTTTTAACTTTAATCAGACTTTAACAAATGAATTGTGTCCATGGCTTTTACTCATGCTATTGTTACTCGTTTAAGTGTTATTCTTCATTCAGACAACCTTTTCAATGTTGTTTTCCAGTCAAATGTTTCCGCATAGTCTGGCCAGTTGATCTGTTTTCAAAAGTAGGGCCATTACAGTTCATTATTTGTTCATCAATACATTCAACATAAGTTGTTTGCAGTTCCTCAGTCCAAAAAAGTCCCTGAATTCAGAGTAGTTTTTTTAACGTTACAGGCTGTTTGACAGTGTTTGAATTGGAGGGTAGTGGGCACTCCATTTGTTGAAGTCTTTAAATAGAATAGAAGTTAAATGGTAACCTTTCAGGTGTGCTTTAGTTGTACATTTTTGCATCTCAAATGGATTGGGCTAGATGGTGCTTGTGGACCCCTCTAATTCTAAGACTCTATGGATTATATCCACCAAAACTGATTATGATTTAATTTCTGTCTTTGACACCTACAAACTCTACAAAGTTTGTAACAACATGCAACCATCACCTTTTTAAATTGCTCAGGTCTTGCTTTCTGCAGCCCCTTGCTTACTGAAGTAAAGGTTTCTGCCAGGGGTGATTTGAATGAAATTTTCCTGCTTCTTGGAAGTGTTGGACTGTATGGCCCATGATATCTCTTCCAGCTACAATTCTATATATTTAGAATGATATTAATTCTTTCATAGCTCCTTGTTGAAGAGTTTAACAGCTGTGACCCCATCACTTTTATAAAATAGATGTACAGTCAGCCATCCATTTGCAGGTTTAACTTTTGTAGATTTGATTACACTATAAAACATGATTTTTGTTCCTGGGTTATAAATGTCGTTTCCTAATTGGTTCTATCATTAAAAAACATGGAAAAGGTTTATTAAATTGCAAAAACACTATTTTTGTGGGACATCCTATAGCACATTTTGCTATAGTTTTTCAATGGATATCTTATAGAGTCTCGACCAAATCAACATAGTTTGTGGCAGCAACAAAAATGAAGTATCTGGAGTGTAACAACTACTTTTAAAGTAAGTACTACTCAAGTAAACAGGGAACAACAGTTTCAAACCAGGAACAGAAAAAAATTACATAGTGATTTGTGGATTTGATTAATCTCTAGGTTTTTTATGTGACTTATGGTCAACTTTCAGTGATATAATGTCTGGGTTGTTGTAGGTTTTTTGTGCTGTAGAAGCATTCTTTCCTGACTTTTTGCCTGTATCTATGGCAGGCATCCTCCTACAACAACCCAGTGATCCTGACCATGAAAACCTTTGACAATATAATGACTATTATTATGGAAACATACCTTGGAACTGTATATTTATCTCATAATGCCTAATTATTACTCCCTGAAAAAGGTTCCTTGAATCTTGAAAATGAGATTTGGTTTACAGTGAGATTGTTCTTACCTTTTTCAGAGCATATAGCTTGAACAATATTGTCTTTGATGTATTTCAGTGAGGCATATTGATTCACAAAATAGACCCTTGACTCTCCAATCTCATGCAACTCTTTCTCATTAGCCTCTCCCACACCAATTGCAAAAATATTAATTCCTGCTTTCCTTAATTTATCAGCAGGTTCTTTCACTTTGTCCTGTGCTTCTCCGTCTGTTAGCACAATCAGATAGGTAGGCACTTTATAATTCCGCTGCTTTCTTGCTCTTTCAAACAATAGCAGCATATATTCCAGAGCAGCTCCAGTATAAGTATCTCCTGTCCAATACTGGATATTATTGATTGCTTTTTCTAAATTGCTGCTTGTAATGTGTTTGTCAATTTCAAATTCTGTTCTGGTACTGTTTGAATACTGAACAACTCCAAAGCGAACATGATCAGGACCAACAGTAAACATTTTAATCACTTCTTTCAGGAAAGTCTTCATGTCTTTATTAAAAGAATCGGGACCAATGCTTGTGGACCCATCAATGAGAAAATAAATATCAGCTCTTTCTGTGTCTACACATCCTGCAAGAATAGAAAGATTTTGTAAGCCTTTGATATAAACTTGTCCCAAAGATAACCATAAGCCAATGTTTTAAAGCAGGCAAAATATAGGCATAGGTCCTTCAGAATCCACTGCTTCATAGGAATTTATATTGGTATGGGCAAACCACTAGTATAACTCGGCCTATGGAAGAGGTACAAATTTGTGGTACTGATAAAGAGTGATCATGTTTTACTCATGAGGTGTACTCGAAGGATAAAAACTCAAATGAGCCCTTGAAGAGCACCTCAGCAGCAACATATTCTCTCAATCACTTTTTCTCAAACACATGGTGAGAAATCTAATGATCAGAATCCTATTGATGATATACTCATGAGTAAATTCTCTTATGCTCAGATGAGTATCTCTTATCCAAAATGCTCATGACCAGAGGTGTATTAGATTTTGGATGGGGGTGGGAGTGGCATACGTGTTTTTGCATATACGTACATGATGTGCCACATTGGAAATGGGATCCAAATCTTATACACATTAACTGAAGATAATATTATGCAATTTTTAAAATAATGTGCCTGAAGCAAAATTTGTGCACATCAGAAAGCCAAGGTGCAACCATGTGGAAAATTATGGATTTTGGCCTGTTTCAGATTTTGAAATTCCAGGTAAGGGATTCTCAGCTAGTACTAGAAGTAATTCTTTGGCCACAATACAACCACTATTGTCAGAAAATGTTTCTGCAAGAGAGTTCCACATATGTTATTGGTTACACATCAGTGTACAACTATTTGGGGCAGTATTCTTTTATTCAGTGGAATCTACACTATAAACCTGGTAGTCAGTTCTTAATATGTCTATATGAAAGTATTCCGTCTAAGCATTACAACAACAGCCTTTTAAAGAAGCAAGAGGTGGATGACTGAAGAAAGGTTATTGATGAAGATTAAATGTAGAGATGGGGCAATAGGAACCAAACCATGGGACTTAATCTACTCAACCCTTGTTCTTTTGCCTTACATAACACCGGGCTCTTCCAGACAGGTCCCAAAGACCTGTTGGCCTTTTACCGGAAGTGTCCAAACGATGTCTCTGGTAAAAGAGAAACAAACCCTGCTTTGTCCCAAATTAATTAAATACCCCATTAGACCTGGGCTTTCCTGAAAGGGTATGGAGCCTGTCAGGAATGATTTCTGGGTAGTCCCAGGACTACCCAGGGGTCAATTCCCACAGAACTCCTGGTTTTTCAGGCTCCATGAGCCTCGAGAACTGAGAGGGCACCCACCCCCTCTGCAACTCCCCCACAAGCCTTAAGAGTAAAAAAAACTGACCAGGCCACTATTACACTGCTCCAGCAGGTGTCCTGGCATATAGAAATGATGCACCTGGAAAACAGGGGAGGGGGACAGAGCAAAATTGCTCCTGACCCTCTGCCTCCTGGCACATCATTTTTATGTGCCTGGAGACCTGCCAGAGCTACATAATGGCAGCCTGGTATTTTTTTTTTACTTTTCAGGCTTCTGTGTGTGTAGGGGGGGGGGGGTGTTGGGTGATCCCATGCTATCCCAGAAGTTACTGGGATGGCATCAGGACACCCTATTGGGAAAGCCCACTTTTTTGAGCAGGTGTGGGGACTTAAACCCATTTCAAAGCATGTTTCTTAAACCCACTTCAGCACAGGTTTAAGCCCTATTTAGAAGTGCCCTCAGACTCTTGATGCTAGATCTGGAAATTGCATTAAATCAATGGGCATTATATAACTGATACCATTGATTTATCAGTTGATTGCATGAGACAAAAGTGAATTCTGGACATCGCCTAATTTGTATCTTTATTATAAAAATAAAACTGCAAACATGATGATGCCTTTTTACAACTTTATGATGCAATCAAAGGGTGTTTTGTTTTGTTTTCTAGGGGGCTTATTTATTTATTTATTTATTTATTTATTTATTTATTTATTTATTTGTGGTATTTGTATATTGCCCTTCTCAACCCCAAAGGGGACTCAGGGCAATTCAGTGTTGGCAACAAGTAAATGTCATTGATTAAAAAAACAGTGTAAGAAATCAAAATTGACCCTCCCTTGATAAAACATTAAGCATGATTAAGCACGTCACAAAAAATATAATCACAACATAAAGACATAGCTGTTATAAACAGTCCTGGGTCATTACACTTTCAACTTTAACTTTAAATATTCCTATGATGGGCTGAACACTTGTGGGAATTTTTTTCTCACACTTTGGGCCCAAATTAAATTAGGAATTACTTCTGATAACTTTTTTCTGTACTACAAATGGCCATAAAACATGGCAAAAATGCTCCCCCAAATACATACCTACTGGAAGGTGTGGTGACATTTTGGGACTCTTTGGCAAAGAGGGTGGGAAGCGGGAGCTCGAGGGAAACTGATACATTTCCCCATCCTCCCACAGATACCCTCCCTGGTTTGACCAATAAAGATTATCAATTTTATCCCTCATCCACTCTCATCCCTCTCCCCAATCACAGGACAGCTAGATCACACAAAAAAATAGTAAGAAGATATAAACAGAGACCACCCTAAACAGATTACTTGAAACTTCTTACCTGCTTTGAGATGTACTCGTCTTTCAGGTTGGGCATAGAGCATGTTTTGTACTTCATTGAAAAGTTTCTTCTTAAAAGTGCCAGACTCGCTTGGAAGGTGAGAAAAAGTGACTTGAATAATATTCCGTTCTGGTGGATGTGATACGACCCGCCTTAACTGGGAGATGTTAGCTCCTTCAATGCCTATGGCAAATACTGTTATGTCAGCTTTTATAAGCTGTTCTGCAGACTCTGTTAAAGAGTCGTCTGAGGGTCGGTGGGTGATGATAGCGGCAATTTGTTTCACTCCTTGATTCTTTCTGCTTCCAGCCCGTTCAGTAAAAACTTGTTTCCTGGTAATATTAAGGGCCACACCTAGATTGGCTTTTCCTGCTCTTGGAAAAAAGCTCTGAATTCTCTGAAGAATGTCATTTTTTTCAGTTTCCTTACTCAGAAAAGATATTACTTGTGTCTCAGTGCTGTATTTCACTAAGCCAATTCTTATGCATTCTTCTGTCACGTCAAGAGAGTTTACGGTATTCTCTAAGAATTGCTTGATATATTCAGCATTTGCCTTTCCAACACTTCCATCCACTACAAACACGACATCTGCAACTGAATCAATCTGGCAATCTGTCACTGGGGGGAAATAGATACAGCACAATATTAGTAACGCTAGGCTTTTTTAGCCAGTTCTTTGATGAAGATGTTCATATATCTTTAGGATGGGGCAAGAACTGAGATCTTGGCTTTATGGGACAAAATATTTTGCCAGATATATCACAACAAAGAGACTGAATACCAACAAGTTGTTTGATATGAATTAATGGATGAATGGCCTTTTGGAGTTTGGAACTTTTATGCTCCATCTTTTACACAAATCACCCTCTGTACTTTCAACACCATATTTTGCTAGTGCCTTTCTTTCCTTTGCTCTTTTTTCCTCTTTCTTAAAAAAATGTAATGTCATTTTTCAGAGCTGATCTGGGGAAACATGAGGCAAGGCTATCTTAATGTAACTTTGCCTCACATTAACCAAAATTGGAGAAAAGTCAGAATTTAGACTTTCCCCCAACTTAGGCCTCTGGAAACAGTTGGGTCACTTCTGAAATGGAGTCAGCCACAATTGTCCCCACTGCCATCCTGTATTTTCTGGGCTCAGGTGGCCCAGGGATAGTCTTCTTCTTTCCATGTCATGGTGGTCTCCACCTGTGATATACGTCCTAGGAGCCCGTTGTCATGTGCTATGACATCAGCGAGTGTGACAGGGTACACTGAGAAGGGAGGAGGGAAAGGGTGGTTCCTCCTCTTCCTCCTCTCCCTTTCTCAATGTCCTGTAACTCTAGCCAACATTACTGCAGGCAACAGCTGACTGGGAGGTCCGTGACATGGAGGATGAGAGGGGATAGTAAGGGTGACATTGTAGCAATGTAGAACTGTGTTTGGCACCACTGGGTGGTCAGAACTTCTTCCTGCCACCTCAGCAGCTGGAGAGTGCTGGCTGGATCACCTTGGGGCTGACCTCGCCTATTCCACATCAGATCAGCCCTGGTTTAGTTTAGTGGGTCCCTTTGTTAGACCTCTAATGGTCTTTAAGTAAGAGAAATGTAACAGATTGGCCTACCTTGCAGGCTTGGTGTAAAAGGCAGTAAACAGGTCTGGCTTGCAAAAGTTAAGGAGAGCTAAGGGGTGGAGCAATCAGGCAGCCTCTTAGCAAGAAGTGCTGTCTGATTGGCTGATGAAATTGGAGGGAAACGCTTAGCAACTGGAGATGGGTGGAGCCAGAGGAAAAGAGAAGGAACTGAAGCAGCCATTTTAGTTCAACTGGGTGTTTGGTGTGGGAAGAAGAGTTAGGAGAATTGAAGGGGGAAGGAAGAGGTTGGGGAACTGATATAAGAAAGATACCTCTATAATAGGCTTCTATAGTGATTAGAGTGCTGTGGGTGGAAGGAAGATTCAAAAGGTTTAAAAGATTCCTGTGTGTAGAACTTTGTTTTAAGAAACTCAAGTTATATTACTACTTCTCTGACCAAGACAAGCCTGTTTATCTATTGAAACTGCTACGCTTATTTACTGTTCCAGAACAAAAATAACAACATATTCCTGTTGTATTTCAACTGAAGACTTTGTATGTTTTTTTTATTTAGCATTCTAATTAAGGAGATTTTCTATGAAATAATAAATTGGTGGCAGCAAAAGAAACCTTAAATAAATATTTGGTGGCAGCAAAGGCGAAAATATAATATACGGTGGTTGCTTCCCACTGTCTGGCCTTGTGTGTATGAGGGGATGTGTGTCTCTGATCCCCTAATGGCCTTGCCTTGGGTCAGACCTTGTCCTTTGTCATGTGTCCTCCATCTTTGTTGCAAGAAACATTGGAAAATAATGTCAAAAGGAGCCCTGAACCAGGTCCGTAGCCAAGATTTCGATTGCGGGGGGGGGGGGCCTAAAAAAATTTCAGGGGCCTGTAGCCAGGATTTTGACGGGAGGGCGGGCTGAGTCTGAGTGAAAGAGGGTCTACCCTACCAAACTTTTGTATCATTACCCCAATACCCCCATGCATATGGGATATATTGAGTATGGTGATCAGATCATGATATGAATAAACATAACAGTTTAAATAATGCACCAGTAAGGCCTTTTCGCGAACCACCATGAGAATTTCGGGGGGGAGGGCTGAGGGATTTGCTGGAATATTTCAATTGTCTGTGACTGAACCTTCCCATGTACATCAAGGAGAGCAGACTCAATGAAGGAATGCTGGCTTTTGACTTTCTACAAAAGAGCTAAGTTAGGGTAAATTAGGAGCGGTCAACATTTTAAAGATATCTGAATCTATCTCTTCTGCCAGATCTATCCAGCCAGTTTTAATCATGAATTTTAAACCCGTGTCTTATGTCCACTATATTTTAATTGTTATGATTTCACACAGAAATTGTTCTGTGTATTTTAATATATGTCTTTTGTAAAAAGAAAAAAGATTTAATATTTGTATTTTATATAATGATTATGTGTTTTTCGCTATGTTCTAAACCACCTTGAGCCATGAGAAAGGCGGATAAGAAATAATAATAATAATTATTATTATTATTATTTATTTATTTATTTATTTATTTATTTACTGCATTTGTTGACCGCCGTTCTCAGCCCTAGGGCGACTCACGGCGGTGTACAACATATAAAAAACAGTTTACAATAAGGCAATATCACAACAAAATATCAACATAACTATCAATAATACATTATTATTATTATTATTATTATTATTATTATTATTATTATTTCCTAGCCTTGTCACTTCAGGTGCATGTTAAAAAGCCCAGTGATGTGGCCAAATCATTCTGGAAACTACTACGCCATGGATTCAACAATTTCCTTATGCACAGTAAACCATATTGCCACGTAACATGTTAATGTGACATATATGAATTGATCAAATGTAACAATGCATTTTACAGCCCTTCTTCCTCTGTTGTAATATTAGTGAAAAACATACTGTCATACAAGCTGTGATGGAGTGGTATTTGAGAGTACTGCAATCATGGTGCAGAGAGGAAAGGTCAACATCTTCCCCACATATTGTGTTCCTAGACCTGACTCAATCTCCAGGATGTTACTTTTAAAGCACATGTTGGACATACTAGAAGCATTTATGCCAGAATTAAGGAACAGTTGATTCTTTGGGTGTTTTGAATTAAAATTCCCACTGTCTCTTATCATTGGCCACACTAAGGGTACTTCTACCCAGACACTATAATCCAGTTCAATGCTGGCTCAAAGGCAGGGTGTCCCTAAAGGCATGCTGAAGCACATCAAACCAGAAACAGCATGCTAAAAACTCACTAGAAAGTATGGAACAAGCCAAAAAAACGTGCTTCAGCTGACAATAATACCAAAAAATGCTGGGCACTTGTCACTTTAAAAAAACCTGAAACACAACTGGCCAAAAGATAAACAATTATTTCCCTGGGAGAGGAAACCACATAATTTCTATGGGAATTTTTGATTTTCACCCTTAGTTTTCATTTTGTATACCCTGTGCTTCAGAACCGATCATGAATGGTCATGGATATGCACTACAGCACATCTCGGTGGACTGGTGAAGAAGAAAAGCCCCACATTTTCAGCAAATGCCTAGCCATTGGATACTGTGATTCAGTTTCAATCTGTACTCAGTCAATATTATGGTCAACACAATAGACACAAAACATAAAATGCAAAACCAATATAATAAACAACACAGCAATATAAAATCAAACATCAAACACAAAAAACTCCACAGGGCAGGGCCACTTCAAGAATAAAAATTTAAAATATTTTAAAAACGCTGGGAGATAGGCAATGAAAGATTGTCATGAAGGGGAACCGGGATGAAGAAGGATTTAATTGCACAAACCATAAACTAAAGTGCTTTTTTCCACATCTAAACTGGATTATGGGGCTGTGGGGCTGTGGAAGCTGAAGGGCAAAGAATCTGGAGAGAACATAATTTCCCATCAATTGTCCAATGTATTAATGTACTGGCTATTTTGGTCCAAAGATGGCATTTCAACCACACCACTAACCTATACACTTGATATTCTACTACATTGTTTTCTTTACCTTTGGTAGATACATTGTGAGCACTTTGTGTTACTGTTGGCAAAGGAGTTATTACTACTGGCAAATGAGTTGTTACTATTGGCAAAGGAGTTGTCACTATTGGTGAAGGAGTTGTGAAGATAGCTGTGCCAATATCCATTTCTATAGCAGATTCAATGACACTGGACATATTTGGAGAAAATGCTTGAAGATCCCGTGGAGTTCTGAAATGGTAGGAGAATTTTGTAGCCATCGATTGCAGCTCATGTTGTAGTGCATCTTGAATCCCTAAAGCTATCATTTTTATCCCAGCATCACGTAACATTTTTGCAGGTTCTTCCACATCATCCTCTGAAGGTCCTGAAGCTGTGACAAGCACAATCTGGTTTCTGTCTCTCCGAGGTGTTTTGAAAAAGGCCTCATGTACTTTTTGTATGGCATTTCCAGTTCTTAAAGATCCACCTCTGAATGAAAAGCTCTTTTTAATGTGGGCCAACATTGGGTTTTTGCCTCTAAAACCATTCAGCTGGAATTCAATGTGAATGTCATCGCTGTATTGTGCAAGGGCAACACGATAGTTGTTTGGACCTATTGGAAGACTGTTAACCACTCTGTGAACAAAATTTTTAATTAAGGGGAAGGCCCTTCTGCCAAGAACATCAGAACTGTCAATCAAAAGGACGACATCTGTAGACTCAGAGGCTGCAAGAAAAGAAAGGGATAGTCAGTACATGTAATATTTAGATAAGATCCAGATTCATACATGTGCAATTGAATGAGTTTGAGCAATCCTCTCCATCCCATCTTGTCATGCTAGACCCACCAACACCTTGAAAAATGCTAAACAATGACCCTATTGAATGGGGTGAACTAACAAGAAAGAGAAGAATAGGGGGTTCCTAAAAATCAGGGGGAGACACTTTAAGTGACCGGAGCCCTTCAGTCGATAAAATGCAGACCTTGGCTCCAATCCATTGTTTAATATTTTGCTAAAATGGCTCAGGAAAAGAAAAAAAAACCCTAAATCTACAAATGATGTTGTATATCATTAATTTTCCCGTATTTTTTTTCCTGCTCTCAGATATACAGAAGCATGCCTTTTCAAAATCATCTTATGGCATCTTAATTTTTTTGTATTTACTTTCAAATTGTTCAAAGTATTTTTGTCTTGTGATTTATTTTTGTCTTGTAAAGTATCCCTGAGGTATGATGGGTCTCTACATAAATACACAATATTCAAATAACAAATATTGTGGGCCATCTGTCCTATTCTGCCATGATCACATTTTACATATGCCTGAAATTGGCTTGTTTTGTTTTGTTTAATGTGTTACAAGATCAAACCTAATGGCTGCTGATGGCTTCCATGTCAATAAGAGTAATGAACCTATTATAGTGCAAAAGGTTAAGCCCTTGTACCAGCAGCATTGCTGACTGAAAGGTCAGTGGTATGAATTCAGGGAGCGGGGTGAGCTCACATTTGTCAGCTCTAGCTTCCCATGCAAGGACATGAGAAAAGCCTTCCACAGGATGGTAAAACATCCGGGCGTCCCCTAGGCAAAATCCTTGCAGATGGCCAATTTCCTCACACCAGAAGTGACTTGCAGGTTCACAAGTCACTCCTGACATGAAAACAAAAACTGAACTTTAAATGAGCTCTCCAAAGTGCTGGCCCCATCCTTAAAATACACCCAGAATCTTGAATAATTCCCGAAAGCTACACCAGAACAAAGTGTAAGCTGTGGGCTGCATGAAACTCTTTGGTTCCTCATGTCCTCAAATACCCCCAAACCAAATCCACTTGCTCCCAGTCAGTCTCAAATTGTGCAAAAATGAAAATGGAAGTCAAGAGACACCACTGTTGTTGGCATCAGTTCACTGATACAAAACCTACTACAAATAAGGAAGGGTTGGAAATTGTCTCCTGCCACCTCACAGTTGCCCATTTACGGTTTAAGGTTTGGAAACCTAGAGCAGATTCATAATTGAGATGGAAGCTAGCTGAAACCACTGATCAAATCCCTGATCTCACATTATTATTATTATTATTATTATTATTATTATTATTCCACTTTATCTCCCCCCAAAGGGACTCAATATAATAATATAAAAGACAGTAATAATGATACGACCATCAAGGCATTTTAAAAAGCATCACTCCTCCCACCCCTCAAACCCTTCCAAATGTCTTCTGCAAAGATGATTGTACTCTTAATTACTGTCTCATTAATGGACAGATACTGAAAAGGATACTGAAGTTACCAGGTTTCTGTGTTACAGAAGTCTGTGTCCCAACGATAATGAGTAGTAAAGTCAGAAACATCTTCAGTTTGCATACAGATGAGCCAAGAAATAAATCTAGGAAATTGAAATAATATATTTTATCATATTAATTGTACATTTAAAAAATAAACGTTTTACTTATTACCAAGAAAAGTATCCAGCTTGCCATCATTTGGATCTGTTCTTGGTTTAAGACAGCAAAACCTTCAAACAAAGTTATGCAACTGGCAAAACTGAATATAATTTGCCCAACTATTTTTAGTGAAGCTATGGAACATGAAACAACCATTCAACATATTTTAGGAGGGGTCTGACCACATCTTGTGTGTGAAGCGGCAATTCTTCAGAAGGAAGGAAGAGAGTGTTTTATAATTCTGAACGAATCCTGCCTACCTACCTTCAAATTGTACAGCCTACACAGCTATCTTCCACCTTATGATGGAAGGAAGTACTGCAGCCTTGATACACCACCACCACCACCACCACCACCACCACCAACAACAACAACAACAACAACAACAACAACTTTATTCTTGTATCCCACCACCTTCTCCTTGAAGGGACTCAGGGCAGCTTACATATGGCACAAGGCGCCTAAAAACAGAACATAAAATAAAGCACAGTATAGAATGCAATTGAATCTTCTTAAAAATTGATTCTGACACATAAACACCTGTTCTCATCTATTCTTGGAGAATGGAAATCAGTTCTTGCTCTACTCTGTTAGCAAGCACTGGAACCTAGTTTGGCCCAGGCTCATATTCCCTTACTGGTGTCTTTAAACTAATAGTTATGGATGCATCTTGTTCCTTTAAATGATGCAAACATCTCAATTGCCCAGGAATATTAATTAATTAATTAATTAATTAACCATATTTATATATCGCCTCTTTCAGTCCGGAGGCGACTTGAGGCGGTTTACAATCGGCAGCCAATGCCACCAACAACATAAAATATAATTAAAAATGTTAACATATAATATAAACCATATGAAAGCAGTAGAAACAATAAAAGCCATAAAACACAAGTCCTCAGCGTCTCATTACTAAAATCATTTTCCCGTCGCATTGTCCAATCGTTCCATAGGTCTAGATTAGTCTGTTACACTGCATTTGCAAATGCTTGCTCAAAGAGCCAGGTTTTAACTCTTTTTCAAAATATTAGGAGGGGGGGTGCCGATCCGATATCCCTAGGGAGGATGTTCCATAGCCGAGGGGCCAGCGCTGAGAAGGCCCTCTCTCTCGTTCCTACCAGTCGCATCTGCAAAGGAGGTGGGACTGAGAGCAAGACATTCTCAGATTATCTTAAGCTTCTAGCTAGTTCATAGGGAGAGATACATTTGGACAGGTAAGGTGGGCTGGAACCGTTTAGGGCTTTATAGGCTAAAGCCAGCACTTTGAATTGTGCCCTTTAGCAAACTGGCAGCCAGTGGAGTTGGTGCAACAGAGGAGTTGTATGCTCCCTGAGCGCCACTCCTAATTATCGAATACAAATAGTTAGAGCTGTGTGTTATCTCTGACACAGAGCAAGTAATTGTTCCTTTTATGGCCAATGTGCATAGGCAAGTTGAAACTCCACTTTGCCAGGCAGTGTCCCTGGACAGTCATTTTTTGCTACAGTCAGTTAGAGTTTATTCTTCAGCTTGCAAATGGCTTAGTAAAGTAGTTAATGCTGACTTACCATTCTAAAGTGATACCTAATACTTATCAATGCCAGTTGCCAACATTTCAACACAGAAGGGGACATACAGTGAGTACTCCTGTACCTGTATCTGGCTCTAAAACGAGGACACAGTTAAAATGGCTCTTGTTTGACAAAACCAAATAGAAACCTTCTATTCTCATCCAAGTACACAAGCCGGTTCCCATTAAAGGTAAACAGACAGAAAAACTGGGATCCAAATAGCTACTTTAGACCGTCCCAAGGGTGGAAACTTGACCAGTGGGGATTTTTCCCTTTCAACTTCAGATCTCCAAGCATATCTGAGGCTGATCTGGAATCTCCCTTCAGTTTCAAAAGTAATCTGCCATATGTCATGATTTGTGAAACCGACACCATTAGGTGCACAGAACTCATTGTGCATTTCTTTGGATTCTGATGTAGTATCTGGTATATTTTAATGTCTACTTTTAGTTTCATTTTAAATAATATAATCTGTGTAGAAAAAAGGGGCAGTAAAATGGAGCCCAGTTACACAATAGTTGCAACTTCTTCATTTAGTTTTCTTTCAAGAAGTTAAAGGTTAACAGGATCACGTATTTCAATATATTGGTCACAAGAATGAATAATCAAAGGTTATTCTGACAATCATATAATTTTTTCTGTCAAGATTTAGTGCTGTATATGTTTTTACGATCTCCCAGACCTGAAAAGATGTGAGGACAGTACAAACCACAGGTTGAAAACAGCCACAGTGGCTACTAATTGAGCACACTCCACTACCCCCAAGGTGCCTATGGCACCCTTCATTTTTTAAAAATGGATTTCACTGAAAAATAGGCCCATATCCCAAGGAATGCAAGGAACAATTTCACCACATCTCTCATGTGAGCTAGGAGGAATTCTTTCCTCCCTAATCAGGAAAGTGTGTGTGAACACTTTTATCCATTACTAAAAAATAAAATTGCTGAGATCCAATGTGCCTCCCAACACCTGATAGCTGTTCATGCCTGAATTAAAGTCATTAATTAAAAAGATAATGTAAGGTATCAGAGATGTGCAAAATGTGGTTAGTAATTTGTTTTGAAGAATCATATGGCCCTGGCTTTATTTCATAAAGATTTGGAAGGGTCCCATTCCAATTCGTAATCTGAATCTCCAGAACTTTCTAATTGCTTCATTAAGATTTGCTCCATTAGTTTTGAGTCTCATTTCTCTGTCATTTTTATGGCTATCAGGACAAAACTTGGAACACTTGTAGGCAACATTTATGACTTTAAGCCTGCCAAATTTCAGAACGTTTTGGTCATCCAATAATTTTTAGAATAACTATCTATCTATCTATCTATCTATCTATATCAAGAGGTAACCCCTTGCACTGCTGCACAATGAGACAACATAAGCAGGGCACCAGTCTTGCAACGTTTCAGAAAGTTTTGTTCTTCTACTGACTTCTAGAAAAAAAATCAATTAAAAATTACTTTAAAATCTACATAAGACATCCCCTCAAATTATGGCACAGTGGGACAACATGAACAGGACAGCAAGCCTGAAAAGTTTCATGACAATCAGTCTATCCATTGATTTGAAACATTTTTTTTTCAATTTAAGCACATGTGATTTACCCAAATCACTTTCATATCAATGAGATTTAAAGCCCTGTTCTTTTGGCATGAGCACAATTCTGGGAAATGTAGTTTAGGGTGTGGCCTTTTGAATACTCTGTTACAGATGTTCTTGCCTTCTCAAACTACATTTCTCAGAATTCTGCTCATGCCAGAAGAATGGGCTGCCCGGGTTAAAGCAATACAAATTAAAATAATATAGGTAGGTAAATTTTATTATGTTCCAGAGACCCTTATTACACTGTAGCATACAAATTATACAGGTAATGAGATTAAGAACATCCTATGGATAAAATTTGCACACAGTAAGAGCTGCTTAAAATACACGTTGGCTAAAATCAAGGGTAAAAAGCTACAAGAAGTGCCACCGACATATGGAATCTACTCTGAGAGCTTATGATGAGCTAATCATTTTACTACAAGAAGATAAAATAATATAAATCTGAATAAAAGTATAAATGTACCACTAAAACAGTTAATTAAACATGTAAATCTCAATAAAAATATTAAATAAAATAAAAATTGTAAATAAAAATATTAAAAATATTAAAATGCCTTTGAGAACTAAACAAAAATCTTTTAGAACAGGGATCCTCAAACTTTTTAAACAGAGTGCCAGGTCACAGTCCCTTAAACTGTTGGAGGGCTAGATTATAATTTGAAAAAAGCATGAATGAATTCCTATGCACAACGCACATATCTTATTTGTAGTGCAAAAAACACTTAAAAACAATACAATAATTAAAATGAAGAACAATTTTAACAAATATAAAGTTATTAGTCTTTCAATGGGAAGTGTGGGCCTGGTTTTGGATGATGAGATAGGATTGTTGTTGTTGCTGTTGTGTGTTTTCAAGTAGTTTCAGACATAGGTTGACCCTGAGCGAGGGCCGAGTAAATGACCTTGGAGGACTGTATTCGGCCCTAGGGCCTTAGTTTGAGGACCCGTGTTTTAGAATCTTCAAAACAGCACAACATAGCAATAGCAACCCAACCCCCATCAACTGATAAAGTCCTGGTGGAACAGAAATGTTTTTAGTTGCCGTCAAAAGGAGAGTAACACATTTTTCACTAATACTTTAGAAATACTTTAGGAATGAAGCACCAGCACTCCCATTTTGTAATGACTTTTGAAACGTTTTTATCAATTGCACATGTCTACTGTCACCATTTTAGACCATTAGGCATTACTCCCTTTCCCCCAGAATGGGTAGCCAAACTGTTAAGAAAATAGATTGTACCAGCACTTTTTTCTTGGCAAAAGGCAACCTGAAATGGCACTAATGTTGTAGACAAAGTCTATTGAGGACATGTAGGAGAAGCAGTAAGGCTCCCAGAACCTGATATATTTAAAATGGTCTCCCCTCTTCCCCTACTTTGACTTAAACTCTGTTTATTCTAACATTCTTCTGACCTTGGCAATCAGTCATGTTCTTTCCTTCCCCTGTAATATCTGCAAGTTTAGCAGCTGTTTCTTACATACACACTTCTTTCAGCTTGAAATTCTTCCATAAGCATTCCCTTTAGTGTAATTAGTTGAGCACTATTTTTGAAGTACAATGCTGTCACATCAATGAGGTGTTTCTCCTTTGCCAGAACCTAATCTGATTTCTTTGACAAGCCAGTTTTCAGTATTCTGCAGAAAAGTTTGAATGAGGAAGAGGAGCCACATATGTTCCTGCAAATACATACTTTCTGTTCAGGGTTACTATCGGATTTTGTTATTGTTGTATGCTTTCAAGTTGTTTCCAATTTATGGTGATCCTAAGGTCATGTCACACAGCCTGGAGC